AATCACCCTGACCCTGGACCCACTCAAACCCTTCGGAGGGTATTCCCGCAATGTCACCCACCTGTACTCCACCATCCTCAGCCACCAGGTCGGCCTCTCAGGTAGGGAGGCCCATGAGGAGATCAACATCACCTTCACGCTGCCCACAGCCTGGAGCGCTGACGACTGTGCCCTGCATGGCCACTGTGAGCAGGTGGTGTTCACGGCCTGCATGACCCTCACTGCTGCCCTTGGGGTCTTCCCTGTAACTGTGCAGCCACCACACTGTGTCCCCGACATGTACAGCAACGCCACACTCTGGTACAAGATCTTCACAACCGCCAGAGATGCCAACACAAAATACGCTCAAGACTACAATCCTTTTTGGTGTTACAAGGGCGCCATCGGCAAAGTATACCATGCTTTAAACCCCAAGCTCACGGTTATCGTTCCAGACGACGACCGCTCACTAATCAACCTGCACCTCATGCACACCAGCTACTTCCTCTTCGTGATGGTCATAACCATGTTTTGTTACGCTGTTATCAAAGGCAGACCCAGCAAATTACGTCAGAGCAATCCCGAGTTCTGTCCTGAGAAGGTGGCTCTGGCTGAAGCCTAGGCTACTGCCTCCTGTCTTCCTGAGAGAGACTGCGAGAACCATAGTCATTGCCTGCTGAACCCAGCCTGGGCCCGGACACTCTGTGAATACGTTGTCTTGCAATGTTGGGTTATTCCAGCCAAAGACATTTCAAGTGCCTGTAACTGATTTGTACATATTTATAAAAATTGAGGTGAAATTGGTCCGACGATGCACGTGCTTCACACTGGTGCAGCCCGAAGCCCGTGGCCTCGTGGCGGACTTGACCGGGTGGCTGCGCCTTCCTGGGCCTTGGCGGACCGTGCAGCCTCGGCCCAGGCTGTGATGCCCTCTTTGGTGTCGTGTGGCCCATGGCGGGGCTGTGGCTCGCTCTGGTCCTGCCCAGTCTGCACAGAGCGTGTGACCAGCTTTCACCTCGGATACAACTCTGCATTCCCAGAGCCACCAGGCCACTTCGTGGACCCAGCGTGTCTGTGGCTTAGTAATCATAGTAACAGCGATAATACACTTTTCTCCGTTTGCTTGCAAGGAAACACACACCTATCTTTCTAAGTTTCTTTTTTTTTTTTTTCTAAGTTTCTTTTTTTTTTAAGAAAATAAAATAGTCACCTTTTACTACTTAAAAAAAAAATTAATTTGCTTTGTAACTTTCACGCACTACTATTTTTTTTTAAATGAAAGAAAATCAACTCAGCATCACCTAACAGCAGCATGCTCTTGTGTTGCTGGGAGTTTTGTGTGGAGTTCCTTGTTTTGTTTCTGATTTGGAGTAACCAGGGCTCTTTATAATGCAACGCACTCCTTTGCAGTGATTTCTGGGTGACTCAAAAGGCACATGTTGTGGGGTTAATCCAGTCACAACTACGCCACACCCGTCCAAAGAGATCAGTCTACAAATTCTTCCTAGTGGCTCCATAGTTTTCCCATAGCATAATTCATTTGTCATGTTTGATGATTATAAATAACACTGCAAAAAAAGAGTCAGGGATAAAACCAGTTTTAAAGAATATAAAGGTATCATCATTGTTATTCTTCTTGGTAGGCCTAGTTTTTTAATGACCCCTCAAAAAAAAAGTGAACTAGGGAGGAGAGGGGAGAGAAAAGGGCTAAAATGTGCGACAATCAATGAATGAAAAACTAACTAACGCCACAATTAAAAATATTATTTCTTTTAAAAAAGGAAGATGCCCCCATCTCCAGCCTCTAGCCATAGTCCCCTGTTTTTCTGCTCTGACCCGGATCCGTCTGGAAAGCCCCCTCCAGCCTTCAGAATGTTACCATGCCATGCAAAAATTGATACTTTATGACAAAGAAGTTTGCCTCTCATACTCCTTGCCTGAGTCAGATCTTTCTTTTTTGCAGCTTGAATGGAAATTAGTATGACGCTGAGGCCTGGCAAAGGAAAAATCATGGCTCCCACCCACAGGCCATAATTAAGACACTGTTAATTGGGTTTAAAAGAACTTGATCAGATTTCCTTGAGGAATTCCAAGAAGCCAGTGATCTGCTTTCCATCTTCCTGTCTGGTGGTAGAATTCTGGCTCTACATATGCAAGACCAGGGTTTGATTCTGGCCCTTCAACTGCATGCAAAGCCACCAGGCCTCTCTTAGCACTCCTGTGCTGCTGAGCGGGTTCCAGTTGAGCCTCCACACTCAGAGTGAGAGGACAGGCCTGAGGATCTTCTTTGAAACTCAGCAACAGGACCCTCTGGGTCATGGCAGTGCCTCCCCAGTGAGCCTACAGGTTTTACCACTCATTACATTACAGGGGCTCAGGACAGCTTTTGTTATGCTGAGCATGGAGTTGCCTTACTTCAGGAGCAGCCAACAACAGCATGGCCCCTGGGAACAGCCGGTGGCCCCAAAGTTCAGTCTACACTCTCAGGAAAGACCCAACCATACAAAGAAAAATACGTTCACAACTTCCCAGCGCAAGGATCAGGCTGTCATGAGGCCTGCACTAAAACTCCACTTCTCTCCACCCAATTCGGCTTCCTGCCTCTCCTACAATGGATGTTAATCCCAAAACTCACAGCCCCCCAGTTATTCAAGCTCATAGTGATCCCTAGGGTTAACCTCAAAGACACCCCTTAATAAACATTCTTCATGTGAAATGCCATTGCAGAGCCTGTTTTCATGAAAATCCCAACCTACACCACCCCTTTCAGAAATGCTGTTGTTAGGTTGTTGTTGAATCTAGTATAACTCATAGCAACACTATGAACAACAGATCTGAACCATGTCCAATCTGTGCCATCCTCATCATCTTTAATACACTTGAGCTCATTGCTGCAGTATGCCTCTCTTTCGCAGACTCTCCACCCTTTCAAGCATGATGTCCCTCTCCAAGGAACAGCCTTTCCTAGAAACATGCCCTAAGGATGTAAGACAAAACTTATCTTTGCCTCCAAGGAGCACTCTGGCTGCACTTTCTCAAGACATACCTGTTTGTTCTATTGGCAATCAGTGGGATATTTAGTACTCCTCTCCAACACCACAGCTCAAAGGCATTAATTTTTCTGTCACTCGTGTCCAGCTCTCAGATGCATAGCAAGTGATTTAAAAGACCAGGCTTGAATCAGGTGTACCATAGCCCTCAAATTGACATAATTACTCCTCAGTAATCTTGAGGGGTCCCTGACTGCAGACTTTCCCAATGCAATAGGCCTCCTGATCTCCTGTTCACTGGCACCAAGGGTGTTGATTGTGAATCCAAGTTAGATGAAGTTGTTGACAGTTTCAATCTTTTCTCCCTCTATCAGGAGATAGATAACCCAGGGGTAAGAACCTTTTTCCTTGCTATAATCATTATTGAAGCTGTAGTCTTTGATCTGCTGCAGCAAGCACTTCAAGTTCTCCTCACTTTGGCGAGCTACTTCCTGATGAAAAGGGACGCTGTAGGTTTCAGGGTGAAGATCTTCTCTCACTACTCTAAAGGTTTCATTGTGATTTTAACAAAGTTTACTAAAGGTTGAATTTTCATTAATTTGTTAATGCACATTTTCCACCCTCCGAGTCACTTCCTCCTCCCCTAGTCCACTTTGCAATGCACCCCTTCTTCCAGACTGTTGTCATATGTATAGTGCCTAACCATATATTATTTTCAGAGTTTTCCCCTACATCTGTTTCAGTGCAGTGTTCATTATCTATCCACTCTTTTCCTATTTCTTCCCAACATTTCATGTCAGTCCAATTTTATAACAACAGTGTTATGTAGTGTTATCCTTTTGTTACTGAGATATTTTACTCAACATAATGTCTTCCAGGCAAAATAAATAAATAAAACAACCTTGAACTTCTGGTAGTTCTCTGTCTATGCACTGTTTTAGCCATTTTAAAATAATCTTCAGCAGTGCTTTGCTTAACATGTAATATTTAACGATACTGTTTGATAATTTCCACATTCTGTTGTACTACATTTCTTAGAAATGGTAACAAATGTGAATCTCTTCAAGTCAGGCAAGCAGGCAACTCCCCCCCAAATTTCATAGCATAGACCAGAGAGCACATCCAAGGCTGCATCTATTAGTTGAAACATGTCAATTGTTATCCCATCAATTCCTGGGACCTTATTTTTTACTAATGCCTTCAGTGCAGCTTGAATATCTTCTTTCATTACCATTGGCCCTGTTCAGATGATAATTCCTGAAATATTTCAGTGTCAACCAATTATTTCTTATACAGTAACTCTGTGTATTCTCTCCATCTTCTTTTGATACTTTCTGGATCATCCAAGATTTTACCCAAAGCATTTCTCAGTATTGCTCTCTGAGGCTTAATATTTTTTTTCCGTTCTGTTAGCTTGAGAAATGCCAAGTGGGTTCTTCCCCTTTCTATCTTCCAATTTCAGCTGTCTACACATACTATTATAATGCTTTGCTTTATCTTCTTGAGCTGCCCTTTGAAATCTTCTGTTCAATGTTAGTATCTCTTCCTTTTGTTTTGATTTCTCAAAATCTGTCAGCTTGTTGTACTTGTGTAATGATCTGCTTATTTCTAATTACTTTTTAGATTAAGTATCTATATTTTTGCTTGTTTAACATTGTTCTTATTAATGCAGCACTTGCCTGTCAGCTTGCTGTACTAAAGTGACTTGCAGGTTACTGTTAGATTAAAAACTGTGCCAAGTGAAAAAAATGTGTCGAATGCCAGAAGGGCCACCCTTGGTAGATGGATTTTAGTAGAGGTCCCAGATTAAGGCAGACTAGGAAGCAGGATTGGCCATTCACTTTTTAAATAGCAGGCCTCTGAAGACCTGTGAATACTAGAGGAACAGAGATAGTTATAGTATTGGAGGTAGAGCCTAGATTTGAAATCATTCAAAGTGAGGAGAAACAACTGCAAACATCCTTTAATAGTTGGAACATGGTACAAAATAAGAATATTGGAAAAATAGAAGTTGTGGAACTTCTGAAAATAGAATACACGAACATCATTAGTGATATAAGATAGACTGGTTTTGGCCACTTTGAATCAGACAATTAAATGTATACTATGCCAGGAACAAGAAAGCAAAGAATGGTGTTGCATTCGAAGTTAAAGACCATTTCCAATTTTTTCCTAAAGTACAATGTTGTGCGTGATAGGACATTATCCATACACACAAGAAAGACCTCTTAACACAAATATTATTCAAATATATTAAGCTAAGGCTAAAAATCAATGACACTGTTCTGTAGTTTCCACACTCAGTTGGGTCACCTTTCTTTGGAATGGGAACAAATATAGATCTCTTCCAGTCAGTTGGCTAGGTGGCTCTCCTCTAGATTTCTTGGCACAACATGGTGAGCACATCCAGGGCAACATCTGTTATCTGAAATACTTCAATTGGTAT